CTCAGACAGGCATGCAAACCAGCAGGCACGCATACACACAGACTTGGAACCACAGCAGAATGCGGGAATCACAGCAAGGCATTCATTCCAGTGACAAATCCCAGAAATCAGCAGTGTTCTCAGTCTGTGTTTTTGGCGGGTCATTACACAATAAAAGAAAAGATAATAAAAGAAAAACAAAAGAGAAGACTGAGAGTTGTGCAAGGAAAATGAGAGAGAGAGCGAGATGACAGAATCCAGATAGCACAATCACATTGAAAGCAAGACAGTCCCACAGTGTCCAGATAAGCAGCATTGCACCAATATTACACCAATGGAGAATCGAAACACTGAAACCGAATGTCAATGAGAGCTTTACTCTCGTCCCCACCAACATACGTATCCAGGCCCTCTCTCCCTACTTGGTGCTCGGCGCCCAGGCTACTCCCTACACAGCTACTTCCTGCCTACGAATTGACGATGCAACTGTTGACGTCAGCAGCCACCGAAGTACTTGAAGATGTCGACCAATGCAGACCATCGCCAATACCAGGTATGCGCCCTCAAATCATCATCCTCATCTCTTTCACTCTCTCCCTATCCTTGTCTTCCTCCCACGTCTTCTCCCTTATGCACGAAGACCACCACCACCTCCACTGGCTGTCCAAGCCAAGCCGTGGCTATGTAGGGCTGGATATGGCGCTGCCCTCAGCAGCGCCCTGCCTGGCAAATAGCACTAGCGCACAGCGCACAGCCTGCGAGCGCACGCTCAAGCAGCGCTGCCGCATGCACTGCCTAGTGCCCGAGCCCTCCACCAGTGGCGAGCTCTTTCCTTTATGGAAAGTGCTCGCCCAGTCTGCTCCCTGGCTGGGCCTCGTGTATTTCCAGTAGCTTCCAATCGGGCCACACACACAGTGTCTGCGCCCAGGCCCATTCAGACAGTGGCCTGGGACCGAATTGGTTTGGCCTGCCCGACCACCCAGGAGTAAACATGAGGCTCCCCCTGCTTTGCCTGTGCTGCTGGAAGAGCCTAGAAGGCTCAAGAATTATTTCTGATTCTCACAAGTACGGAGGATGTAACCAACTGGCCCATGGCAACTGTCTGGCGCCCACCAAACTTTGCCAAAATTGACGAACTCGAGCCATATTGAAATTCAGGGGTCCGCCTTCACTTACGGCGGGCTCATGCTTGCTGAAAGGGCCCTACAAGGGCATGCCAAGGAGCCAACTCGTAACAAGGCCCCGTCGAAGATCCATGCCCACATGGGGTTTACAACAGGCTCTGCTTGGGCCCCTCAGCCTGGTCTCATAGTCCTGTAAATAGGCATTGGCACATATTTGCAGGCCTGCCTTCACTTAGGGCGGGCACGGCACTTTCAGACACTGCCGAGGGACTAAATCCTCGCAGTCCACTGTCTTCACTCAGATAGAGCGCATCGTATCGCTATAACAATAGACAGTAGAGTATCAGCCAAAGACAGAGAAAGAGAACTACATGCTCCTTGTGCTCTACTGTATTCACCTGACTACAACGTCCGTTCATTATCGCTGTGCATTTGGGACAACTTTGAGTCTACATACAGTAATTAGAGTAACAGCCTGACGTACGGTCATTATTATAGCTGTGAACTTTAACATTAAAATATCAAGGACGAGCACGTGAACCATATATAACTACTTTAAGACGGATTAGCAAACCTGGTTGAAGGAGTTACTCTAGCTATCAAGATATACCTAAAGTGATGGGAGGCATGGGTATCGTTATACAACTTTGAGTCTACATACGGCAATAATGACCATACACTGAGACAGTAGCTCTTTTCTCTGACTCTGGCTGTTGGCCCCACCCCGCAATTTGTGGTGCGGTGCTACCGTCTTGGCCCGAACATAACGCACCCGGAAATTGAACGTATGCAAGCTATATTTCCATACGTTGTATTCGGGTGAAGACAGTAGTTCTTTTCTCTGACTCGGGCTGTTGGCCCCACCCGGCAATTTGTGGTGTGGTGCTACCATCTTCCCCTGAACATAACGCCCCCGGAAATTGAATGTATGCAAGCTATATTTCTGGTCCGGTACAGCCAAGATGAGGGTGCGTTGTGTTCGGGGGAAGACGGTAGTGTGGTGGTGACTAGTTACTTTTTTCTGCAAGTGTGGCCGGGGCGGTGTCCTGGGACATCAAATGGCACAAAGACCAGAGCACCCCACGATGGACCGGAACACAGCAAAGATGACATATTTGAACTGTGCCACCTCAGCGAGATGTGCACCCTCAGAGACAGAGACACGGGCTGGGACATCAAATGGCACAAAGACCAGTGCACCGCACAATGGACCGGAACACAGCAAAGATGACATATTTAAACTGTGCCACCTTCAGTGAGATGTACACCTCAGAGAAAGAGACACGGGCTCGAGAGAGACAGGGAGCCAAGACAACCAAAAAAAAAAAAAAAAACAGCAAACAAAAGGACAGATCGGGAAAGAGCATTCGCTACATGCAAACATGCAACCACGTTGCTGATCTGCAGGAGGTTAATTTTTCACGGACACGGTCAGGCCACAAACGAAGCAAAGGCAGAGATTTGACCCGCCACAGCCAAGCAGAGAGACTTAACCACCACAGCAAAAAGTCAAGCCACCAGTACACTATGAGAACGTAAGGGAACTCCATTCTCCTGAATGAACAAGTGGAATTGAGTGGGTGCTCGTCATTGATTGGGAACCAAACAGATGGCACATCAACCGACTATTCACAGCGGGGCGAAGGGGGGTAAGGGGGAGGAAAGAGGGAGAGGAAAGAGAGGAAAGAGAGGAAAGAGAGGAAAGAGCGGAAAGAGGCAGAACTCCATTCTCCTGAATGAACCACGAGTGGATTGCTGCCGAAGAGTTGAGTAGGTGCTCGTAATTGATCGGGAACCAAACAGACGGCACATCAGCCGACTATTCACAGTGGGGGGAAGGGGGGAGAGAGGGAGGACGGAGGGACGAAAGGGAGGAAAGAGGGCTGGCAGAGAGGGAGGAAAGAGAGGAAAGAGGACTGGCAGAGAGGGAGGAGAGAGGGAGAGGATGAAAAGGGCTGGCAGAGAGGAGAGGAAGGAAAGGAGAGAGGAGAGGAGAGGGACAGGAGAGAGAGGGGAGAGGGGGGGAAGAGAAGAAAGGGTGGAGACAGAAGAGATGGAGGGAGACGATGAAGGAACAAG